GGTCGTATGTCAGCGCGAGGTGGGGTGGGAGGCCGCAGGCCGTGTTACCATGGCAACAAGCGGCACGGGTCTTGTCGCCATGGCGACGTGGGGGGTCAGCCGGCGTGTGGCACCCGGGGGGAAGGGGGTGGTCCAGGCCGTGGCTGTTGCCGTGGTGATGGGCGTGACACGGCATTGGGTGCGTGACACCCTGGGGAGGCCCCGTTACCATGGCAACGGGCGGGAGGGCGCAGAGACCACGTGTCTCCCCAGGATGGTGGCTAGGCCCTGTCCTCCCCATCCCCGCCCTGAGGCTCTGTCCCGCTCCCCGCAGCATTGTGCACCTGTGCCTGCGCAAGGCCGACCAGAAGCTGGTGATCCTGAAGCAGATCCCGGTGGAGCAGATGAGCAAGGACGAGCGGCTGGCGGCCCAGAACGAGTGCCAGGTCTTGAAGCTGCTCAGTCACCCCAATGTTATTGAGTACTACGAGAACTTCCTGGAGGACAAGGCCCTCATGATCGCCATGGAGTACGCCCCAGGTGGGCCCCGATCTCCCGCACCGCCTGCCATTCCTCGGCAGGTCCGGGAGTGCCAAGCCTTCAGCTCTTCTTGGGTTGGGCTACTGTGGCCCCGTGTTGTGCTCCTTGTAAAGATCCTGTGCTTTGGATCCCCAAAGAGTCCAAACGCGTCTCTCTTGAATGGACATGTTGGTAGAAAAGGATCTGTGGGTCCTGGTGGGCACCAAGTTGGCTGTGAACCAAGTGACCGAGCACTGGCACCTCTCTGGGTGGCCCAGAGAGGTTATGGAATCACCATCCTTGGAGATACTCAAAAGACAGGCCACGCTGCTGGGCAACCAGCTGTCAGTGGCCCTGCTTGAGCAGGGGATCGGAGCAGGTGACCTCCCGAGGCGCCTTCCCACCTCACCCACTGTGCAATTCTGTGATTACATGCTCTATGCTTGCTAATCGTACCCAAACCAAAGAGATTTCCGACACCTCTGTCGCTGAGAAGCGCGCTACCCTCTGCCCTCGGCTTAGGCTTCAGACGCGTTTCCCTGCCTCAGCTCTTGGCCGCGCTGTTGGTGCCGCAGCTCTGTGTGGGAAGGTGTGATTTCGGACGCGCTTTGCTGTGGAGTTTAAATCAACATATGCATGAGGGTTTGTTTAAAGTTGTAAGTGAGCCCCAAATCTGGACCTTCCCTTCTCAACAGGGGCCTCTCCATGCCGCGTGGCCTCTTGGACTGCAAAAATTCCTTTTTGCAGAACAGGCTTATCTTGTTCTGCCTCTTGTTTGTGTCCTCCTCCCAGAGCTGTAATTTTAGCATTTCTTTTCCTGCTGCCTCTGACAATATGTCAACGGTAACTTCTCTCTTGCTGTTTCTTCATCCCACCAACTGTGCTGCCGTTGTTCTCCTCACGGTCTCGGGAGCGTCGGAGGACGTGCTGCGTGTCCCACCAGGATGTGCTTTTCCCCGTGCTCGTTAAGAGGCCGTGGCTAAATCCCCCCTGACTTCTAGGCCGGGTTTGTGCTGCCCCGTGCAGCCACCCTCGCCGATAGCCCTTTGTCGTTCTTTGCAGGGGGCACGCTAGCGGAGTTTATTCACAAGCGCTGTAACTCCTTGCTGGATGAGGATACCATCCTGCATTTCTTCGTGCAGATCCTCCTGGCTCTCCACCACGTGCACACCAAGCAGATCCTGCACCGCGACCTGAAGACTCAGAATATCCTCTTGGACAAACATCGCATGATTGTCAAGATCGGAGACTTCGGCATCTCCAAAATCTTGAGCAGCAAGAGTAAAGCCTACACGGTGAGTGGCCTGGCTTTGCAGGGCAACTGCTTGCCACCATGTCAGCAGGTTGGAAACTCTGGACTTGGCTCACGATAGTCTCTTGGAAGCTGCTGTAGGCAGTGAGGTTGGACGTAGTGGTAGGCCACATCCGTGTGCCGCCACGCTGCTTTGCTCCTCGGAGTTTATACAGGCTGATGTCTTCACGCCCAAGTTTGCTGCAGCTGGGAGGTGCAGAAAGGGGAGAAAGACCTGCCTGGGAGAGGATGGGGTGTCTGAGCCCACTGGGGAAGGTAGACAGGGTTCCTCCCACTGTCACAGAGGGTGGGGTGGTGTTTGTGGGCTTGTCTGACACATCCTTGGCAACTGAATTCCTGGCTGTGCCCTGCTGTCCCGCCTTGTCTTAATCTCCTCTCGCTGCTTGAGACTTGACTGTCATTCCTCACCTGCTCTGATCTGACCAGACGTTTACATCACGCTCATTGCTCTGGGCTATGATTGAAATTGAAAACAGGGAGGTTTAGATTAGATATCAGGAAGAAATGCTTCACAGAGAGGGTGGGGAGGCACTGGAACAGGTTGCCCAGAGACGCTGTGGATGCCCCATCCCTGGAAGTGTCCAAGGCCAGGCGGGATGTGGCTTTGAGCAACCTGGTCTAGTGGAAGGTGTCCCTGCCCATGGCAGGGGGGTTGGAACTAGATGATCTTTAAGGTCCCTTCCAACCCAAACCATTCTGTGATTCTATGATTCTTTCAAGTGGATAGGAACAGAATTAGAGGTAATCTCTGTATGTGCAAAGGGAGCTCATGGGAAAGGCAATTCCTCATGTTTTTTTACTGAGATTGCCAGGCAGATGTTGACACCAGGGAATAAAAGCCCAGCTCCACTAAGCTTTGGTTGGTGGTGCTCCAGCCAAGCCTGCACACCGGGCTCTAAACTGAGCCTTTCTCTTTCCACCTCGCTGCCCCAATTTCATGGCATCCCAGTAAATTTGTCTCTTGTAGGTTGTGGGAACGCCGTGCTACATCTCCCCAGAGCTCTGCGAAGGGAAGCCTTACAACCAGAAGAGTGATATCTGGGCTTTGGGCTGCGTGCTGTACGAACTTGCCAGCCTCAAGAGGGCTTTCGAAGCTGCGGTAAGAGGGACGTGGTTCAGGTGTAGCGCAGGGAGCCATGGCCTCTTACAGAGGTGAAAATGTACACGGGGATCCCTCTTCTCCCTGAGCCTGGAGGTGTGAAGGCAGAGGGCAGTGCTGAGAACTTGCTCTTTGGCCTCACCTCTGGCTGCCCGGCCACTCTGTGTCTCGTTTTCTCTCCAGAATCTTCCTGCCTTAGTACTGAAAATCATGAGCGGGACGTTTGCTCCGATATCAGATAGATACAGCCCCGACCTCCGCCAGCTCATCCTTAGCATGCTGAACCTGGATCCTTCCAAGCGGCCCCAGCTGAATGAGATCATGGCCCAGGCCATCTGCATTCGCCCTCTTCTCAACCTCTACACTGACGTGGGCAGCGTCAAAATGAGAAGGCAAGTGACCCTGCCACCGTCGTGTCCCTTGGGAGGAGGGTTGTCCCCATGCCGCTCTCTTGCATTACCCAACGTGCGGCTGCTGCGGGCCGAGCCTGGCCCTGCGGCTCGTGGCCGCGGCAGGTGTGGGCCTGTCATCGCAGTAAACAGTAACGCTCTGCTGAGCGTTGTGAGCTCGGGGGGAAGCAAACTGATGCCAACTCCCCTCTCCCAGGTGATTTAAGGCACCTACCGAGGCAGTTCTGTGACCTATTCAGCCGTGGCTTATGCTGTAGCTCTGCCCAGCCCTGCTGTCATCCAGGACTCTGCAGGGGCTGAGCTGACATTGACTGGATTTTGGTTTGGCAGGCCTGAAAAACCCTTGGCTCCGGTGCCGACAGTGACCCACAGCCGAACGGGAGGACGAGTGAGCAGTGCCAGGCCGAGGGGTGAGTCCTGGCACCATGTGTTCAACGCAGCTCCATTTGGAAGGGCCCTTTTCCTTGGATGCCAGGGGACTGGAGAAGCCCTCAAGCTTCTGGAGGGAGGAAGTTAAGAGACGTTACCTTCCCTGAGTCCCAGAGGAGCCCACGGGCTCTGGGGACCAAAGAGTGCTTTTTCTCCAGCTGCCTCTTCTGCGTTTTGATCCCTTGAATCAAATCCCTGCTGCTCCTACTGCAAAGGCTGGAAACCAGCAGGTCATGCTGAGGGGGGATGTCCCAGCACAGGACGATGCAGCTGGCACTGGTAACAATCAGCTGGAGCTGTCGTGGTGCTCGCTTCCTTCGACTCTGGGATAAAACACAAGGAGCTGTTCCTGTGTGCTTCTCTCAGGGCTGGCTGGGAGCTGTTCCCCTCCTCGGAGGGCTGGCTGGGGGCTCTCCAGCAGTCCCCTGCCAGCCTTGGACTGACACTGGTCTGGCTGGCAGGCAGCTCTGCTGGCATCCTGACTGGCTGGTGTCATTTCTTTTCCCATGGCAGGAGAGTCAGGGATCTGCGTTGATGGTTTCTCTTTGATCTGTAGGTGTTCGAGGGGGTTCAGCCAGGACAGGAACCCCTCCGCCGCTGTCGTCCATCTACACCTGGGGCAGCGGGATCACCACCCCCCTCCGCCTGCCCATGCTGAACACCGAAGTGGTGCAGGTGTCTGCTGGCAGGACGCAGAAGGCCGGAGTCACCAAGTCGGGGCGGCTCATCATGTGGGAGGTGAGTGACAGCGAACCTGGGGCAGGCAGTGGCCGTGGAAGCCTTGGACATACAATTCCTGAGGAGGAGCTGTTCCTGCTCGCTGCACAGGCCCTGGCGCTGCGTCCCCCAGGGCTGCTCTCCAGTCCAGGGTGCGGGGAGCACTGCTGAGCCTGTGGGAAGGGGCTTATCCGAGTTCTCCAACCCAGCTTTTGCTGGAAGTGCAGCAGCCGACACATCTCCTCTCCTCCAGGCTCCCCCGATGGGTGCTGCGGGAGGCCCTTCTCTCCCAGGAGCTACCGAGCAGCTCCAGCCTCAGTTTGTGTCCCGCTTTCTGGAAGGCCAGTCCGGGGTGACCATCAAACACGTGTCTTGTGGTGATCTCTTCACAGCCTGCCTCACAGGTGAGCTGCTGCTTCCCATTTCCATAGAATCATAGAATCATAGAATGGTTTGGGTTGGAAGGGACCTTAAAGATCATCTAGTTCCAACCCCCCTGCCATGGGCAGGGACACCTTCCCACAGTCCAGGTTGCTCAAAGGCACGCCCAGCCTGGCCTTGAAGACATCCAGGGATGGGGCATCCACAGCTTCTCTGGGCAACCTGTTCCAGTGCCTCCCCACCCTCTCTGTGAAGTATTTCTTCCTGATATCTAATCTAAACCTCCCTGATTTCAATTTGTACCCATTACCCCTTGTCCTGTCACTACAGGCTCTTGTAAAAAGTCCTCTCCCAGCACCCTTGTAGCCCCTTCAGATACTGGAAAGCTGCAATGAGGTCTCCTCGGAGCCTCCTCTTCTCCAGGCTGAACAAGCCCAGTTCTCGCAGCCTTTCATCATAGGAGAGGTGCTCCAGCTCCATTTTGCCTCCGTGGCCTCTCACGTAACATCAAGCGGGGGTCAGAAATGGCAGGCGCGGCCCTGCTGTGATGCCACACTGCTCATCTTGGTCTGCTGGTGTGGGGAGGGCCACAGATTTGTTGTCCCGGCTGCGCTGGTGCCACTTGAAGCTGGAACTGGCCCATACAGTGGGGACTGCAGCGTGAGGAGCGTCTGGGAAGCTCAGCCCTGCTCTGTGTGGCGCAGACACGAGCGGTAACCGACGTTGCCGAGAGGAGTCACCGCGAGCTCCTGCCGGGAGGGTTGCCCTCAGGTCTGAAGG